TGATCAGACATATAGGAACACATTATATAAATCATAAACAATGATTCAATTCAATAACACATAAATTTAATTCACATGCTACAGGTTATCCATCCATCAAATAATCCAATTTTTTCTACTATTATTACATTCATAAACTAATTGAATAATAAAGTTCATAAAAAAAACTTCTTTTTTATTCTAAAAGATACACAAAGAAATTACGAGAAAAGCAACCACAACTTTTGAAAACAAAAAACTACAATGAAAAACATCATCAAACAATGTCTAAATAAATACAATCGAAGATCGAACGAAAACGAACAAATACTCAACGGAACAAGAAAATTTAGAGTATGGTTGATGAAACGATACAAAAATCAAATGAAAAAGTGAGCAAAGAGTTGATATCCAGAAATAAGAACAGATAGAGCTAATGTGAAGAAGGCCAAGAAAGCCATGCTAATGGAAGCTGAGGCCATGTCTACAAACTTCATCAACATGGAGTTGTTAGAATTGTGTCTAGCATAGTTCGTCCTTGGAACTGCCGCTGATGCCGCCGATATCAACAGATATGCCAAAATCTGTCACCACCACCAACATAAAAACAATACCCATTTGAACTCGTTTGGTTGATTCATGTGCACGTTAAAATGAGGTATTTAACGATTTAAAACCGTGATCAAATACCTGATCGCCGATAAAGTCAATAATAACAAATACGGGTCGAGAAAATGTAGGTTTTCTATTAACAAGTTGGATAACTTCTCGAATTCCTTGGTAGACCGAATATACGCTTGAGATTATCGCAATTGCCAGCAAATAGCTGCCATTTAGTGAGAATCAAGATCAACTAGTCAGTTAACTATATATTTATTTTTTTTTAAATATCCTTGATATTTCAATTTGTGGTTGATACCTAAATTTTTTTTAACCAATTAAAAAATACTCCTAAACTTGTTTAAAAAGTTTAAAAATACGCTTATCATTAGTAATATGAACGGAATCGTATGTACCACATTTTTAAAATACTCATGACTTTTAAAAGTAGCATCAATACTCTTAAATTATTAGAAATATTTACAAGTTCTTACGGTTAGTATACGGATATAAACGGTTTATCAACGCTCCATCATCTTTATTTGATATATTCTATCTTATTAGCTTCAATTTACAACTCAACCATTCTTCCGTTCTCGTATTTTTTCTCTCTTTTAATACCCTATTAATTCAAGGGATGGTTCATTACTAGATTGTGTGTTCTAATATCTTTTTAAATTATTGTTCGACCCAAAAACTTGATAGAAATAAAAGTATCCACACGATCGATACCTGTATTCTTCATAGTCTTCAAAATTAAGACCTCTTCCATGTCTGTTGGAGGCCATGAGAACAAAAGCGAGAAACGAAAATATAAAACATAGCCATCTCAAAACCAAATAGCTTTTCTTCAACGTGTCTTCTCTCTTCTTCCTCTTTATAATTGCAGCGGTTTCGACTCCAATTGTTGATGTACTCTTCTTTTCGACGTCGGGAGACGTACTCTTCTTTTCAACGTCAGGAGGAGGAGGAGGAGGAGTTGAGGAGATCGTTTCAAGAATTTCGGTGAATGATTTTTCATTAGGGTTTGACATTGTTTACAAGAGAACGGAAAGTGTCCGAACACTACGATATACTTAAAAAAGACACCAAACCTACAAACATATATAATGTCTAGTGAGTGGTACTAAGTAATCAAGAGACAAAGAAAGTCAACGAGGAATTTGAAGTCAACGGGAGAGGGAATCACGATGAGAAAGAGCAACAACTGTTTGACAGCTAATCCTTAATTTGGTCAACTCAAATTCGTGGCATCCAAATCACTTAGGTCAACAAATTGTTGGGCCCAAAGTTTCGAGCTAGCCATGTAAAGGCCCAGCCCAAGGTCAATGCAAAGGCCCATTTCAGAAAAATCAAAATTCTAAAATATTATTGATTTAATCTCTAGAATTTGATCCTTGTGTGTATTTAATTATTATTTTTAAAAAATCAATTATATTTAAAAAATAATTGTATATATTTAGTATTTTTTAAAAAAAAATTGATTTCTCGACTTTGATGGTCGAATCTTCCACAATGACACTGTATTTTCGATTGTCTCTATTCGCAGTCCAAAAAGTTGTCTTTGTCAACACAACATTAGAGTCGTCCTTTTCATTCTATGTTAACTCCGACCTCGGGTAGGCTTTTTGGCCATTTCGAATTGTTTGTTGAGATAGACAAAGTCAAAAAAAGTCCGGGACAAGTAAAGCCCTGCGAAGCAGTAGGGGACACTAAGCCTCGAGGCAAGTGGAACTTGTATGAACGAGTCAAATGCTTCTTCTATTTTTTTTCGCATGACTTTATGTTGCGAGTGTCTCGGTTCACCACGGTCAATAGAACTTGAAGAACTGGTCTCCATAAAATAAAAATAGTCTCTACTATACATATTACTTTTTAGAATTTTATCAAACCATAGAGACTTAATCTAATTTTCTCAGATTTTTGTATGACTTAAGCTCGGGTATGCTAATCCAACTTTGTATCATTCGTCCCATACCTGACTTATAATCAAAATCATAGCGAATTCGTAGGTTAAATTACACAAAATATCCCTAAACTTTGGGTAAATTTCAATTATATCGCTCTCCCTTGAAAAGTTTTATTTTAATTCTTTAACTTTGACTCGTTACGTATTGTCGTTAACCTCACGATTTTAAAATGCATTGGTAGGGAGAGGTTTTCACACCTTTACAAGGAATGTTTTGTTCCTGTCTCCAACCGATGTGGGATCTCACATCATCTTATTCTCAAATTGCCCTCATTCAGATGTGGTTCCAATTCATTTATATACTCTTATTTTGTTTAGATATCCCGAGAGAGAGCCGGGAATGATGGGGTGATAGGCTTTGGTCCATTTGGGAGAGGAAATGAGTATCATGAGTGGCAAGGGAGGGCCGTTTTTTGGTTATGGTTTGAGACAAAAGCACTCTAAATTCTCTTATCAAATCATTTCAACATTTATGGGGATTGAGCTGTGGCTTCTTCTAACGGCTTCAATGTTTTTTTTTGGGAAATGAAAAATTTTTAACTTTTTTAAAAAATTAGAAAGGTATTTTTGAAACAATATTGAAAGTTCGAGAGTATCTTAAATTTTATTACAAAAATTAGAAGGGTAGTTTTGGAACACTATTGAAAGTTCGAGAGTATTTTAAATTTTTTTAAAAAAATTAGAAGGATATTTTTGGAACACTATTTAGAATCGAAGAGTATTTTTGAAATAAATGACTATCCTTTACATCTAAAACGGATGATAAGGATGTTTTTAAAATTTTAAAAGTATTATTAAAAATTTTAAAATTTTATAGATACTTTTATTAATTTAGCCTTAAAAACTTAGTATTCGTTTAAAATACCTTTAAAATTTTAATAATATTATTAAACTTTAAAATGGCTATTTAAAAATAACTATTTATATTTTTCTTATTTGGTGTACTTTCATAATAACAATAATAATAATAATAATAATAATAATAAATAAATAAATAATAATAACAAATAATAATAATAATAAATACAATTATTGGAGGTTATACCAAGAATTTTGTAAAAGTAAGGGCAAATATGTAATTTAATTCATGGATGACATTAGCAAAGAAATTATTATACTATTTTATTGGTTGGGGTAAGCTAGTTATTTAAGATAGGGACTAAAAAGGAATTCAATTTTAATTAATGGGACAAATAAATGCCTAACTAATCAATACCTAAACTTTATTTGGAGTTATTAATTTCATCTTTTTTATGATTTAAATCCTAACGACTCTAATATTTATTTCATTTTAGGTCATCAACTTTTTAATTATTTTGTTTTAAGTCCTTCGATTATTTGCAAAAAAAACGCCCATTTTAGCCTTTACACTTATTTAACTTTTAACAATAATTTTTTGTAATACCCGAGTAAATGAGAGGTATATGAATGAACAAAAACCACGTGAAAGTTACTACCTATATAAGCAATATAACAGCCCAAGCACACCGCTAGTAGATATTGGATGCTTTAGTCGTTATGTATCGTTGTCAGCCTCAGTTTTAAAATGTGTCTGCTAGGAAGAGGGTTCCACGTCCTTAAAAGGTCTGCTAGGAAGAGGTTTTCACACCCTTATAAGAGATGTTTCGTTCCCCTCTCTATAATCCCCTTGGGGGCTCAGTATTCTCGCTGGCACACCTCCTAGTGTCTGGCTCTGATACCATTTGTAACAGCTCAAGCCTACCACTAACAAATATTGTCTACTTTAGCCCGTTACGTATCGTCGTTAGCCTCATGATTTTAAAATGCAACTACTACGGAGAGGTTTTCACACCCTTATAAGGAATGTTTTGTTCTTTTCTCCAACCGATGTGAGATCTCACAAACAAGGCGCACCTTTCTTTTTGGTGGCTCAATCACAAGAACTCCGAAGTTAAGTGTCTTGCTTGGAGCACTTTTACATTGGGTAGCCTCCTAGAAAATTTTCGAGGAATCATGTTATAGGGATAGTCTTCACTCTTAGAAGCAAGAAGTAGTAACGTGACCCTACTGTAGGGGAATGTTGGGACCATCAATGTTGAATTTGGATTATGAATCCTGATTTGAATCGTGGGTATGGAGCAGTAACCAGAAAAGAAGAATCTAAAACCCTAAAAATTTCGAGAACAATGTAAGTCGAGTTTCTTAGGCTTGGCTTTGCAGGGATGTATGAAAGAACGAGGCATCTACGATGCCGAGACCCAATTGTGCTTGCTGCCTATCTACCTGGCATAGATCATGCTTAGAAATTCAACCGTGTAGGTAGGTGTTGCAGCTCGGGCTCGAGAAATTTAGGGACTAATACGTCGCCCTTGAACCCTAATTTGTAATGATTTTAGGGCTAAATCTTTTTAAATTATAATCTAACATTTTTATAATTGGAAGTTTGAAATTTGGAATTTTGCATTATTAAAAGACAAAGGCATCTTCACTTTCGTGTTCCATTCTCATTCCATCAGCTTCCTATCCGTATGGTGGCCGGCTGAACCGGTTGCTCACTTCCCTTTTATCTCCACCGTCGACTCTCTGATTCCATTTTCATCTCCACTTTCCCACAGCAAAGAGAAGAATCAGTGTATCATCAGCACACCCTCTTTCTTGCTGTAATTCCTTCAAATTTCTTCCCGCCGGCCATGATTTCCCCTTTCGCCCATTTCTTCTTCCTCCATTTTTCAATCGCCGCCGCCGCCGGAGCTTCAGCCAGAGCCCTTATTGGAGCTAACCACACCTCCTCCCGATTCTGCTCACGCTAAACCTTCAATTTCATTCCGACTTCCTTATCTTCTCCAATCCTTTTGTTTTCATGTTCTGTTTATTCTGTACAGGAAGAGATTAAAGCAGATTTATGGGATCAATGTCCGGGAACTTCGCCTCTCTTAGGTTCCTTCTGGTTCGAGTGCTTCTGTTCTCTATTCTTGTGATTCTTGGTCGATTCGCCTATGTTGTGACCATTGCAGGAGAATCCTGTAGCATCGGTGACTTCTGTTTCTTCTCTTTGCCGGAAAATTTCAATTTCATGATCGCTGGCGGCGGCCGAACCGGAAGTTCCGCTTTGTTAACGGACAACGCAGATCCTCTCGTCATTGGATCTTCTCGTGCGGATCTGTATACGAGTGAAGATTGGATCAAGACCGTCCAGTTTTACTCCTCCGTTTTCCAAGATCTGATTACCGAGGGCTACGTATCGGCAAATTCGAAATCCTTGTGCATTGATACCCTAACAGGAGCGGACGTGTCGGCGTTAAAGGAGATCGGGGTTTCGGACTCGATCGGGATTTTCAAGAAGGCGTTGAAGCCTCTTGTGATTAAGGGCGAGGCTCATCGGATTCCGTTCGAGGATAAGACCTTCGACTTAGTGTTCTCCGGCGGTGGCCGATTGGATATTTCGCGTCGGGCGTATGATTTTGCTTCGGAGATTGCTCGGATACTGAAACCCGAAGGGTTTGCGGTGGTCCATGTGAGTTCTAAAGATACGTATAGTTTCAATTCATTCGTTGATTTATTCAATTGCTGCAAGATAGTTAGATCAAAAGATATAGATGTTCTTCTTCCATCAATGCCTTTAATTCGTGAATATGTATTGAAAAAAGAGAACAAGATTCTTGAAAAGGGATTAGTGGATGCAGATTCTTACAAGAGGAATTGCTCTGTTCCTGGGTTTAAGCTATCTCTGGTTCGAAATGCTGAGCCTCTGATTCTAGAGGAGCCATTGAAGCCATGGTTAACCTTAAAGAGAAATATACAGAACATTAAGTATTTGCCTTCCATGGCTGAAATAAGCTTCAAACATAGGTATGTCTATGTGGATGTTGGAGCTAGAAGCTATGGCTCCAGTATTGGGAGTTGGTTCAAGAAGCAATATCCAAAGCAGAACAAAACCTTTGAAGTTTATGCCATTGAAGCTGATCAAACATTTCATGAACAGTATAGTTCAAAGAAAGGGGTGACATTGTTGCCTTATGCTGCTTGGGTAAGGAATGAGACATTATCCTTTGAGATCAACAAAGACCCAGGTAAGGAAAAGGAAGAGAAGGGGACCAGAGGTATGGGCAGGATTCAACCCGTCCGATCTTTGGGTCGTTTTGATGGAGAGGTTAATCAGATTCAAGGGTTTGATTTCGCCAACTGGTTGAAGAACACAGTATCAGATAAGGATTTCGTGGTGTTGAAGATGGACGTGGAAGGAACCGAGTTCGAATTGATTCCAAAACTCTTCGAGACGGGAGCGATCTGTTTGATAGATGAGATGTTTCTTGAGTGCCATTACAATAGATGGCAGAGGTGTTGCCCAGGGCAAAGGAGTACAAAGTATGAGAAAACATATTCTCAATGCATAGAGTTGGTTTCTTCTCTCAGACAAAGTGGAGTTCTGGTTCATCAATGGTGGTAACAACAAACACAATACATTCTTTCTTTTTGAATAACATTCTTTTGAAACCATATCTCATTAACATGATTATTTCCTAGAATCACATTGTTTAAGCTCTGCAAATCTAAAAGTTGTGCTGATTTTACGCATCTCCCTGTTGGTGTATAAACATTCTGTGTGTTCTATGAAACTGAAAATCACGTCTTCTTCTTCTTCTTCAGCTGTAGCCATTGAAATGGAGCTTGTTTGAAACAGGATACGTTTCATAGATTATAGAATTGTTTTAATTTTGAGTTGGAAAGTCTGGCTGAGTCTGAATGCTTGGATTAGTCCAATTCCAGCCAGGAATGATGATATCTCAAGTGCTTGGCCTGCATCTGTTGCCCATTATCTATTTTATATTTCGAATGAAAAATTGGTTGTTTGGATATTTTTTTGACTTATCAACTGATAAAACTAACATTACAACAGGTAAGTATTGTTAAAGATAAAGCAGGAATTGAAGTTTGAAGGGAAACAAAGAAGGCGAGGTTACCCGATGCTAACTAAACTTAAGACTAAGTAGCAGACGCAAAATCAGCACTCGATCGACCTAATTCAGAATAAAGAGAAAGTTCAGGAGCAAACTACTCAATCGTTCATAGACCTAGGTCACGTCCTTAAACTTTATGCAAAAATGAACCCGTTAACATTTTTAATTTCATAAACTCATAGGATATAAAATTAATAATTTAGAAGACTATTTGATTTTTTTTTTTTTTTTTTAATTTCATAAACTTAGTTTTTGTTTTTTGTTTTTTTGTTATTTTTTACTACAGAAAAGGTTGCATATTTGGTATCAGGAAAGTCTAATTGTAACAACTTGATTTTTAAAATGCTTTCATTAAGTGATGTTTCTACACTTTTGTAAAGAATGATTCATTTTCATCCGCAACCGATGTAGAATCTCACAAATAATAGTGACTAAGTTAAAGGAATCCACCGTTGCAGTAGAAAGTATAATTTTCATGAGGAATATTGTCCCGACTTATAGACTTGAACCTAAGTGGTCTATCATGGAAAAATTGTTACGGCTTATAAACTTGAAGTATGACCAAGGAGTTTGTGTGAAACTAATTACAAGTCAAAACGGACTTAAAAATCATAATTACCAAACTGTCACGCTAAAAATACCTATTAATTACCGCTAAACTAAGACCTTTTAATTCCTGTGGTAGTGGTGGGATGATAATGAGAAACACCATAATTTAAAATAATCCCATTATAACGAAGGAACCCATAATATTATTTAAGCAACCATTAACCTTAAACTTGAACAATTAAACATAGATAATCAAGTTAATAAGGTCAAGAATTGGAAGAAGAGCGAACCCACTAAACACAAATGTCAACAAGACACCATCATCCATGATTTTCTAAATATAATTCTGTTGGTGAATTTCATTCCACATTCTTATCTTAACAACAGTTTCCACTTCATTATCTCTCTATCTCCTCTCCTCTCCTCTCTGTTTCTGCTCCCTTTGGGTTCAGATTCAGAGAACCCTCCGATCTTTCCATGCTCTAATACAGATTCTTCCCCAGAAAATTTGTGGGTATTTGATCTCTTCTGGTGGCTCAAATTCCTTTTTGAGATTCCCCTGGTGGAGGGTGTCTCAGAAATGGGAGCCTGCTGCACAAAAGATTCAATCAATGGAGTAGGAGGAGGAGAGAATATGACCCATGATAAGGATGAGAGGGATTCCAACCGAGGAGATGATGGAGCAGAGATTCGTCGGGGTGACGACGGAGCCATCGTTCGACTCCATGGATCCTCTGCGTTCATATCAATGTATTCTCAACGAGGAAGAAAAGGAATCAATCAAGATGCAATGACGGTTTGGGAGGTAAAGCAAAATTTTGGAATGATCTTGTTTGGGATATGATTTTTGTGTTGAATTTATTCAAAGAGAGTTGAATCAGAAACTTACAGGATTTCTCAGGGGAGAAAGGTTTGGTGTTTTCTGGAGTTTTTGATGGCCATGGTCCGTTTGGTCATAGGGTTGCTCGCCATGCACGAGACATGCTGCCCTCCAATCTCTCCAAGGCTATCAAAAAGCAGCAGCGGCCATCACATGTCCAAAATGGGGTTTCTAAAGCTTCTGTTCAACCAAACAACAATGAAGGAAATCAACGAAATCCATTGGTTTCAAGATGGGAAGCTGCTTTTGAAGAAGCTTACTCAGATTTTGATCGAGACCTCGGCTTTGATTCATCCATTGATTGTTTCTGCAGTGGAACAACAGCCATGTCCATTATCAAACAGGTGATTACTTCAAAACTTTCCCGGAAAATAACATCCTCTGTCTCAAATTTTCTAGGAAAATGAAAAGCCATTCTTCATTATCTTGACCTTTTTGATCATCAGGGAGAGCATTTGGTGGTTGCAAATGTGGGCGACTCCCGGGCGGTTCTATGCACCAGAGGAGACAACCATCAACATATTCCCATCCAATTAACAGCTGACCAGAAACCAAATGTTCCAAGTGGGTATTGTTTATGCAATAAGAACTCTATCTTATCAAATTTGAGACAAATTTTTGAGATAAGACAAATGATGGCAAATAATTCATTCAGAAGATCACAAAGGAATGAACAATATAGCAAATTTTTATGTTGTTATCCAAGCTATTTGAATCTGCTGTTAGGAATCATGGACCTCTACAATGGTATAATATTGTCTACTTTGAGCTCTCATGACTTTGCTTTTGGTTTTACCAAGAAACTTCATACCAAGATATATTCCTTACTTATAAACCTATGATCATTTCCTTAACTAGCTCCCAAAAATTTTCAACCATCCTTCCCTTGAAGGGAGTACACCATAGAATCTCCCCTGAGGTCTATGGAGCCCTCGAATAGCCTCCTCTTAATCGAGGCTCGACTGCTCTCTGGAGCCCTCGAATAGCCTCCTCTTAATCGAGGCTCGACTGCTCTCTAGAGCCCTCGAACAAAGTACACCTTTTTTGTTCTGACACTTGAGGATTCTATTGACATTGCTAAGTTAAGGGCATGGTTCTGATACCATGTTAGAAACTATGAACCTCTACAATAGTATGATATTGTCTACTTTGAACATAAGCTCTCATGGCTGTGCGCTTTTTGGTGAGATATATTCCTTAATTAGCCAATGCAGGACTTTCTCTCAACAATCCTCAACATCTACAAACTTTTAGTTGAAGATATAACTTGATAACCAATTGAATTATACTCGATCCATTGGGCATCAATCAATTTCTTTTTGGTTCTAATGAAGTGTGAAAACTTGAAACTATGATCTTTTGATTAGGAGTTATAATGTGTAGCTCAACTCTTTTGGTATCTATCAATTAATCTTGAGTACTATGTTTTGAATGTGAAACAGGCGAAGCAGAAAGAATAAAGAAATGCCAGGGGAGAATCACAGCAGATAAAGAAGAACCAGATATTTACAGAGTATGGGTACCAGATGCAGATTATCCTGGCCTCGCCATGTCAAGATCCTTTGGAGATTTTTGCCTCAAGGATTACGGCCTCATCCCAACCCCTGAAGTCGCCTACAGAAAACTCACAAGAAAAGACGAGTTCATCGTTCTAGCAACAGACGGAGTGAGTCAAAATTTAAAGACAAAATCAAAAGAAACCTATTCGCCATTGTTAAAGATAACGCTAATTTTTCAACTCTTACCACGAACTCGCAGATCTGGGATGTACTGACGAACAAGCAAGTAATCAACATAGTTGCTTCAGCCAAGAACCGATCCATGGCGGCGAAATTAGTAGTGAAACTAGCAGCCCGAGAATGGAAACGCAGATTTATAGGGTTGACGATCGATGACTGTACAGTGATTTGCTTGTTCTTCAAGAATCCACCATTGCTGAGCAAATCAATGACGAACGTAGGGCGGCGGAGCATGAGAAGCCATCCGGAACTTTCATTTTCAAGAAGCTGTAGATCCATGGGGATCGACAGAAAAATAGGAGAAGAAGAAGGTGAATCAGTGAATAGAGAATCAAAGGAAGATCGGAAGGGTGTAAAAGGATTAAACAGATCGAATTCAGTGATGGGGATTTCACGAACCACTAGGAGTTTGAGCCACAATCACAAAGCGCCCAAGTTTTTTCATGAAGTTGAAGCTCGCGAAAGCGGCCCTGCAATGGCTTAGGGCGAGAAGAAGAACTAAGGATCTCATGTTCTTTTGTTGGTTTGTTTGTTTCAATTTTTTTTTTTAGAAAAATGTTGGTAAATACCTTTAATATCATTCTTTTTATATATTTTAAATGTCATAATATAAGGACAAATAATTTAAGAGTTTTTGAGCGGTATGGAACCGATTACTTTGATGACCAAGATCCAAAGTTTAAACTCGTTTCTAAACTATGATTTGAATCACTCAAATCACTCCACAAGAGAATTTGATTAATATCACTTGAATCACTTACGTATCATGCAAGCTATAAACACAAGAATTTGTAGATTAGAAACTTAGCTCTAACTGATGTACGGGGTTATCATATAACCTTAACTTCGGTATTAAATACTAGTTTAAATATGATAAATAAATATTTTAATTATAATTAAATAATGCATAAATGAAATGTGCTTATTAGACTAGTTTCATAAATTCAATCTTTGTAAATTAAAGTACACTTAATGCAACTTTGCATAAAATATGAGTAAGGTCTCTAAGTTCTTTTAAAATTTTCTTTGACGAGCTGGGTCATAGGTTTATATCGTCCATTTATTACTCTTTTTATTTTTTATTTTTATTTTTTTTGTAATCTATTTGATCTTATTTAATTATGTAAATAATTATAAATAAAGAACTTTCACCGTTTTAGCAAATATTCTCAATTATTATCTAACTCAATCCTACTCTACTAAAAATATTTAACATTTAGTAAACTATATTCGAGTTGCATAGCTCACCAACCCCACCAACCGAATTAACCCCACCAACTCGAAATTCGGGTTAGTCCAAAAGATATCTCCAATTTAATCAATATACCTCCCTACCTTTTGGTGAATGGTTCGAATTTAGACATTTATGTGTTTTACTTTTATCTTTTTGATAAAATTTATAATTTTTTTCCTCATTTAAATTCCTTAGCCTAAGAAATTTCAACCCCAGTCCTTTGGTGTGGGTGGATTCAAACTTCCCACAGCCGAAGGCATTCTACCCAGTAACGCGGATACTTTGGATCCCGCTTGAACGAAACGGAAGATATTGTCGATAAATAGAAGCACGTCTTGTTCATTAACATCTCGGAAATATTCCGCCATAGTTAGGGCAATTAAACCAACTCTCATACGAGCTCCCGGCCGTTCATTCATCTAAACGTAGACTAGAGCCAGGACCCAAATTATCAATAGGAGAGTCGCTCCGCCAACTGGAACACTTAGAAGAGCTCTCGTGTTAACCATAAAATATTCGACCCGAGATCCGGTCGTCAGGTGTAGAGAAACTAAACTCTCTCCCGCTCTCTGTTCTCTCTGCATCTCTCTCTCTCTCTCTCTCTCTCTCTCCCCTTCAAACAGAACGCCCATTTCTAGACGCTTTCCATTCTGACACTTACAAAAGCACTTCCCCACGCACCCCACCGCTATCGTCCCCACTGCCATATACCCTTTTTCTTTTCACCATCATTTGCTTCTTTCAAGAACAAACGAAACCCAACCATTTCTGTACAAAAACAACAACAAATCTGCAACAACTCCACATATGAAGAACAACCTTTCCCTTTTACTCATATATTAACAAACAACTAAACTTCACCTCAGTTCCCAGTTCTCAAAATCAGCACAAAACCCAACTAATAATTATAATTAACTCATTCATTTCAATCTCACCTAAAACAAAAACCCAATTCAGAGATAAACCATTACAGAATCAAATTACCCTTTCGCTGTTTAGATGGCTGTTGATTTCCGGACTACGTAACGGTAGGCGGCGACCTTTTTCCTCCGGGAGGCGGTGTTGTCGACGGAGATCACCATCTTTCCGGGTTCTTTTGTGGTGAATGAGTTGTGAATTGCTTCTTCATTGGCTGAAATTCTCCTTGGCTTCTCCACGGCGATGGTGTAGCTGCCGTCGGCGATTGGGATGAACTCGGCGCTGTATTCTAATTCCCAGCCTCCAACGACGATGTCCCACGTGATTGTGGCGCCTCCCTGTTGAATTTGAGTTTTAAGGGGTGAAATGGAAAGGGGGTTTTGAGTGATTATGATGGGAAACAAACCTCAATCCCTTCTATTTGAATGTTCACTTTCTCTCCTCCTTTCACGGCGAACTCCGACGCCGGTTTTGGGGGTCCATTTTGGAAGTCGCTTGGGCGATTCAGGCCGCCGTATTGCACCGGAACGTCCTCCGGTCTGATGAACCTGTTTCGAAAATTGAAACGAAACCCATTTTTTATTGCAAGAATTGGAAGAACATAGGAGAGAATTTGATGAACGGACTAACTTGTAGAGGGTTTCGGCAACGTTGCCTTCTTTAGCGATGACGAATTTGCTCTTGGTTCGTTGAGTTAAAAAGGGGCTAAACATTGAGTACAAAATACTGAAGTACCAAGGCACATTGATGAAAATCTAAACGCCCAGATCAACAAAATGGGGAAAAATCGGTTCAGATTTCTAATCATAACTCAAGAATCCAAATGGGTCAGAGAAATCAAGAGCTAAAAGTACCTTACGAGCAACCAATTCAGGGTAATTGTCTTGAAACAGCGAGAGAATCGAATTGGACGCTACTCGCAGCTCTCGTTTGGGCATGTTCTTAAGATCAGTGACTTGAATCAACGAATTAATCCCACCAGGCTTGAAATCGAGGAGATTAATCCCTCGTTCCAAAACCTGAACTCTCCATTTAAGAAATTTCTTAAGCTTTTCATCATCGCCGAAGATCTTTTCGTATATTTCCTTGTCCTTGAAAACCCCATAAGCGTTGTAACAAACGGGGTGTCCTTCTCTATCGTAGCCCTGCATATACGCGACGACCCCTTCAAGCTCCTTAAACCCTAGGTCTTCATCGAGAATACCGTCGGCGCCAAATTCCGATCGCCATTGGAGGGATTTCTGGAGCATGGTAAGTGAATCGGGGACTTTGAAGTCTCTGGCACGGAGGAACTTGAGGAGAATAACGTCGGCGCGTTCGTCGTCGGATAAGAGGGGAATGCCCCACATGGAGGGAGAATCGGTGGTGGTGGTAATGGTTGTGGCGGCGGAGAGGTTGTTTTTTAGGTCTTGGAGGGCTTTTCGTTCGGAGGATTTGAGATGGGAAATGAAATATGTGTCTTCTTTGAAGGAGGGAGAGCGGAGAGTGGCGACCTCCATTAGAGAAGAGACGAAGCTTTTCTTTGATGGAAATGGGGGTTTGGGAGTGGAAATGGGGGAGGCTGCTGCTGCCGCTGCTGGTGGTGGTGGCGGCGGAGGTTGTTCGGATTCCATGGCGGCGGTGGTTGAAGGAGAGCCAGAGATGGTGGGGCTGCTGGGTTTGGTTCAGTGTAGAGAATTGGGAAGAAGAAGAAGAGGGAGGCAAATGGGAGAGAGATTTTGGTTTGAAGTTTGAAAATGGAGAAGGTTAAAAATGGAGGAGGAGGCGGGAGAAAGAATAAAATCACGCGCCTGTGACATATATCCTGTGACTGTAAGATTCCTTTTGAAAATGAATGAACGTTTAGGGCTAGCTTCTTAGCCGCTGACTCCAAGCCGACCTGTGAGCCTCGACCTTGTACGGAAGGGATATGTTTATATATTTTTTTAATTAATTTATATTTAATATTCTATGAATGTTAAAAGAATTTTAAATTTAAAAAATTTTAAAATTTCACTCTAACCCCTTACTTAATTTATTTGTAGTCTCATAATTTTAAAATATAATTTGTTAGTGAGACGTTTTTACACTCTTATAAAAAAATATTTTATTCTTCTCTTCAATCGATGTGAGATCTCACAATCCACTTTTTCAGATCCAAGTGTCCTCGTCGACCTTTGTTCCCCTCTCCAATCAATACGTGATTTCACAATTCACTCCCTTCGAGGCACCGATGTGAGATCTCATATCTATCATTTTAGTTATTAATTTGAGTAGAATAAAATCAAGTTATTTATTTTTATTTTATCTAATTTCATAATTTTTTTATTATTTATTTTTAAACAAGATTAAAATCCATTGTGAATTTAATTTAATATTTGAAAATAAACAAATACATGATTTATTTATTAATATTTTACTTTTATTAAAAATAAAAATGTAAATGATTAATTTTTATACATCAACAAATACGAGAATAATGTTATTATCACATTTAGCTTACAATATTTACTCAATTTTCATATTTTTTTTAATGAAATAATTAAAATCTATTTCAAATTTGAATATTTTCTATATTTTAATCTAGTAAATAATGAAATTCATTAATCGATTTATATATATATATTTTTTTTAATTTCTACTTTTATGAATTGATTTGATTTAGAGCGTAGAGGTAGGAGAGGGGCGATCGGCGATAATAATTGAAGCGGCGAGAAGAAAATTTAGTGGACTGGGCCACGGCCCACGGGTTTGAAAATTTTTCTGTGGGACCCACCATCTCCCAACAAACAAACTACCTATATATACATATATATATATATATATATATATAGGATTTGTGGATCCCCAAGCTCGACCTAATTTAGTTCTCGATTAAAAAATTTGAGATTCAAATAGTCTTATTCATTTAAATTAATAAACAAAGTTACCGATCACATTCTAGCGGTAGAAGGAAGAGGGTGAAAGGTCGAGCTCGAACTAGGAAGAGGGTGGAAGGCTGCCTAGGCTCGACCAATCAAGAATGTTCGACAAATATGCATCTACCTTTGTTCAAATAGAAAAGCAAATCATGGTAGCATATATCAAATAGGAATTAAAATAGAAAACGAGATCTTAAGGTCTACGTAAAAATTTTCTAGGAAGCATACGAGTGAGAGTAAAACATATTAAAAACACCCGTGTTGGTTTGTGGATAGTTTTCGCTCTTAAAAGCACGTGAAGAAAAATAGATAATATGATCATGGTACAGGATATGAATCAAATTAAAATCAAGATAATTAACCGACTATAACATGCTTTCATTAATGATCGGGCCACTTTTAGGACCAAAGTTGGAAACATTATGTTTATATATATATAAATTAAATGGGCAAGTCACGGGGTGAACGAAGCGTCTTTATAAGAATGTAGAAATC